GGGTTCCTAGGGTCTACTCAGCCCCCTACAAAGGCAGTGAGTGTCCTTATGTGGCCATGATATTGTCCTTTCCTCTTAACCCAAAGGCAAGGGTGAATAGATATTAATTGTATTTATTGGCTATTTCATTGCTCATTAGCTTCTGGATATTTTTATAAGCATAAGAGGATTGTTGCAATCATTATAGTTTTTAGAGTCTACAATTATATAAAAGCAAATCTCATCCATTGACATCACCAAAGCACAGTGAATCTAGGCTCCTCCTGCAATTAAAATTGTACTATTAAGTAAGTTATACCCAGCAATAACTGTATTACTGAATATGAAAGGGTGAACCAGGATGACATAATTCCCCTCTCTGCAGCTGGCTTTGGTGATTTGATTACTGTTTTCCACCCCCTGAGGGAGCTGGGCTGGAGAGTGTTCTACAGAACCTCAGCCAGGCCTGGGTCCCATCTCTCACCTGCCCTATAGGTGAGGAGCCCGAATGCAAAGATATCATTGCCAAGCTGCAGCATGTCAAAGTGGGAAACTGTAAGTCCGAAGAGGAAGTGGACATTCGTTACTGCCAGGTAAGGGTCCCTGACTTCAATGAGGCCTAAGCGGGGAAGGGCGTCTCCTTGTTTGGAGACATCTCCTTAGTGCATTTTAGAAGGATCTGGAAAATTCACAGGGAAGGGAAGTGAAAGGAACTGGAAGTATTTTATTTTTTAAAGGAAATGTTTTATTGAAGTAACTGGGAAATTTTGACCCCAGATGAAAAAAAACCGAGGAAGGATTCAACAAGTCCTTCAAAGAAAATAGAGAGTTATCTATGGAAACTGGGGGCTATGTTTCCTGAATATTAATCAGACACGCATAGAATTGCAGCTAGAGGGATCTGGGTGTGATGGTACCATAAGGAAAGAGGACATTTCAGAGCTCCCTGAGATCTACCTTGACAAATTGCCTAGCTGTGCTGGATATCTCAGGGCGAGGCCAGGCCTGCCTTGCTTGGAGGAGGGCAGGTGGGGGGAGCAGGCTGCCTCAGCGTCCACTCTGACCCCCGATTCTCCATTATCGCGATGCCCTGACCCACTCTGCCTGCTGCAGGGTAAATGTGCCAGCAAAGCCGTGTACTCAATCGACATAGAAGATGTGCAGGACCAGTGCTCTTGCTGCTCGCCGACGCGGACGGAGCCCATGCAGGTGCCCCTGCGCTGCACCAACGGCTCCATCGTCTACCATGAGGTCCTCAACGCCATGCAGTGCCGGTGCTCCCCCAGGAAGTGCAACAAGTGAGGCCACTGCCGCCGCTGCCGTGGACGCCCACTGCCACCTGCCTCGGCCCAAGAGGCCAGAGTGCTGCCCATCCTCATGTATGCTCTGCTCTCGTGCCCTCCTGGGCCCACAATAAAGGTCAATCTCTCATTTTGCAAAAGGCTGATGGTTCACTGCTTTGTTTAGGCTGAGATGACAGCTATAGGCTAGCCCTGAGCTCTGAGACTGCTTTCTGAGGGAGAAAGCACAGGCTCCATTAGAACACACGCTAGCCCCAGTGTCTGTGGGAGGCACTGCCAGGCTCTGGGGAACAGTGGTGTCTTACCTCCATGCCGTGCGGAGGAGAGCATAGAATACGGGGCAGGTCCCCTGAGAAACTCCGCCCAGTGGACTGAAGTAAAGGGGTTTGCTCAGGAACACTGTGTTCTCTAGTCTCTAAATTCAGGGGCTCTGGGCAGCACAGGGGTGGGCCCTGGAGCCAGGCTCCTGCCAAGATAGACATGGCTGTCACCAGTGTGGCTGGCATTGTGGAGAAGGAATCTGACCAGATGTGCAAGGATTTCTCTGAGCCCTTGGCTGACCAAGTTCCTGTGCACCTTCCGTGGTCCCTGTGGGAGGGAGAAGTGCTAAGGGCTGAGGGGACTGCAAATGGGGTGCTGGCAGGTGCAGGAACAGGGTCCCATCCCCACAGGCTCAGCCATGGATGGTAAGCCTCAGACTTGGGGGCAGGCCTGGGTCCCATATAAGGCCTTGTTCTCCTGTGTGGCTTCAAAACAGCCCCTTAGTGGTTCTCAGACTTAGCTTCCTCATCTGGAAACAGAACTGTGAGTCTCAGTTGTGGGGCTGGAATAAAATAAGCTTGAAAGCCTGGGGTAACTATAAATTGCTCTATAATAATATAAGAAGTGACAAGAATAAAAATGGGGACATCAAGGCTCAAAAGGAGGAATACGTTCTCTGCCATAAGTGGCAGAGCATTGGCGATTTCCTTTGTTCTGAGAGGTGAATTGCTGAGTTTTTTCTGGGCTGTGTGCTGGATGCCAAGGCGCTGCCTCCTCAAGACATCCTGTAGTGGAAGAGAAAGAGGTGTAGATAACACCAAACTTCACCAGTTCCACCAGTCCCTAAATCCCTAACTGGTGATGTCACTCTCAAGGAGAGATTGTCCTTCCTTAAAGTTTATGAGAAAAGCTTACGTGTATGTGCTGGCAAGATGGCGGCAACTCTAATTGGGAGAGAATACCCATGAGAATGAAAGGAATGTCCTGGTGATGTGACAGGAATTTGATGGACATCTTCATTTCAGATCCTTTTAACACAGGAAAGACTCAACTCATTGACTCATTGAAAGTGCAAGATGTTGGAGCTGGAAAGGATTTAGGCGTCTTCTAATCCACTGTCTCTCCCCTGCACCTTTACAGAGGACGAAAGCAGCTCAGAGGACTTGAGTGACTTGGGGAAGGTCACACAGCTGCTGGACGGTGGGGCCAGGTTCAGAATTCAGGTGCCTTGACACCTAGGCGAGAACTCGCAGGCCACTCCACCAGTGTCACACCATCCCTGTTGCTTACAGATTCAGCCCTTGCTAGCATGGGAACCTGTGACTGCTGCGTTTCTAGGTCTCACCCACTTCTGTTACTGTCAGGGATCATCTTTAAGGGAAGATATGGTACAGGCAAGAGGCATGGATTGTGTTGAATAGGTTTGGTGGGGAGTTTAAGGTAGAGGAAAGGAAGAATGGAGAGAAGTTTTATATAACTGCTCAATAATTCAAAGGTTGTCATCTCTCCATCCATCACCCTGCCTCCAATGTTGAGTAGCCTCTAAGGTCTCTGTAGGAAACCAGATCCGGTGCAGGGCATTACCTGTCTCTCTCCTGACTGATCGCCTAACACTCTACCTGGGGATGAGGTGTTATTGGAGGCATCAGCCATGGAGAAACTCAGTAGAGAGAGGCTGCCTCCTCACCATAAGGGGTCAATTTTCCAACGGCCTGACCTGCCAAAGCCTGAATTTCTCCTCCTATTTACTCATATGACAATTCACTATCAGAAAAAAAAACTGAATCAGAAAAGCTGCATGTTTTGATTTTTTAAAAAAATGGCAGGGAGCCGGGTAAAAAGGATGCAGAAAGAAACTGGTGGAGGCAGTGGGGGTGTGTCTCACGGCCCTCCCTTACTCCTTGGGTCTTTCCAGGGCAGGGTCTGCCTCTGGTCTCAGGGAATTTATTTTTTGTGCATCCTCAGACCAGATAGGACAGAGTCCCTCAAAGTGAGAGTTTTAGGGGGAGTCTCAAAGAGGGAGTATAGAGAGACTAGGGGATAAGAAAGTGCCTGAGAGGGGAGGAGAAAGGGAATGGATAAAGAAACGAAAGTGGAAAGTTTTCCACTTGCCTTGGAGTTGAAAAGACTTCGAGATGGTAAGTGGGAGTGGCAGTCCTCCTGCTCCAGGTACCCGGGGAGGGGGCATTGTTTGGGAGAGAAAGAAGTGGAGTGGCGAAAGGTTTTGAGCACAGACTTTGGAGCAGGCTGTCTACTTTGAAACCCTGGCGTATCTCTTAGAGGCAAGTTGCTGGACCTATTACACTGCAGTCCTCATTTGTAAGTTGGACATACTAGCAATAATTACTTCATAGATTTGTTGTTGGAATGAAATAGTTACTGTGGGTTAAAGCACTGAGAAGGGTAGCCAAGGATAAGGAAGTCCTGTATGAACATTAGCCATGATTACTCCTAGTGAGCAGAATAGAGCCTGGGATTGGGACATAACACTTATGGTTTTCCTTCTGCTCTCCTCCTGACTCATTCTGTGTTGTCTGCTCCCCTTTACTGCCTCTGGCTCCTCATCAGTAAAGTGGGGAGCAGTCACCGTCACCTGATCTTATCAGTGTGGGAGATAACATTCTTCACACTGAAAAGTCAGTGGTCACAGATAGCACACTTGACTTTAATATCATACCTTTTCATATTGGGGTCCCAGGTATTAAGGAACTTGTTTATCTCCAGGGCACTTTGGAATTGTAGATTCCGTCATCCAGAATCGCCCTTTGGACGTCTTCTCTTCCATCCCTCTGCCCATGGCCAGGTACCTAACCTTTCCAGAGAGATGGCAGTCCTGCTGCTCTTTGGGATGGGGCTTCCATAGTTTCTCTCCTCAACCCTTACCCTTGGGACTCAAGGGGAGTCCACCTACCCCTCCACCTGCCTCTTGCAGCCCTTGTTCCTGTCCTACCTGTCCCTTGTGCACCTATTTCTCTGTTCTTGCCCCTTTTAGTCTAGAAAAAGGTGGGGGCAGCTGGCTAGGGTCAAGTGAAGGCCAGGTGTGCAGGAAACCTCCCACCCCAGCCCACACAGCAGACAGCTTCCCTGTACAGGGCATCAGGGAGGAGGCTTTGCGGGTGGGATTGGAAACTAATCGGCCAGATGCTTCGCGAGATAATCCGGAGGAATGGTCACACCCGGCCCAGGAGGGTATGAGGCACCTCCCCCAGAGGAGGACAGCGGGTAGCACTTACTGACTCGCCCCTCAGCTACATTAACCTGAGGGTGACCCCGACTCAACTCCACAGCGGAAACGCGCTCCTTTCTCCACGTGGCGCTACCATCGCCGCGCACCCACGGCGCAGCATGAGAACCCCGGTCGGCCCCTGGCAGCGAGGGCCGGGTGGCCTTGGAAGGGATGGGGGAGGAGGCGGTGGCAGCAGGCAAGGGGCGGGCACATCCAGACCCAGCTGAGCCGCGATGGAATTAGCCCCGCGGCGGAATAAGCCTGTCCAGGCGCGAGCGCAGCCGCGGGGCAGTCCGGGTTTTGCGTCCAGTGTGCGGGCACCATGGCCACCCCCGGGCTGCGCGGTGAGTCTTTCCTTCTGGGGACCCAGGTCCTGGACATCTGGCAAGTTGCAGGAGGGAGAGGGGCTGGAGATGAAGGAAACCGCATCCTAACCGCTACTCTTCGGGACTGGTGACCTCATGGGAACCTGGAGGGGGTGGCGCAAGGAGCTGATCTCCTTTCCCTCAAGGGTTAGAGGAGCTGAGGGACGCATGAGTACTTTCCGAGTTTTATCGAGGAGAAGGTAGGACAAGAGAACGAGGATTGGTACAGCAGCTTTTTGGTTAAGGATTACTAATTCTTATCTCAGAGATTTTGCCTCTCCTTGTTACAAGTTGTGGGATGTTTAGTGTTTGAGGGTAGGCAAAACAACTAGCAGGGTTTAATTCAGAAACAGTCTGCTGAGAAGTTCAGGTTCACCCACAGCAAATTTGACTTTGGCATCCCCTGCTCCATCCCTTACCCAAACCTGCCCTTTTGGGCGTTTGGGTAAGGCCCCCCCAAAAAGGGCGTTTGCACTTGAGGGTGCAGGGAAACCCGGGCACCTCTTTCCCAGGGGCTTTTCTTAGAAGCAAAGCAAATGGAGGTGGAGTTTGGAGGAGGAGGACATTATTCTGCAGCACCTCCCAAATTATACTGAGCAGACAGATGCGTTTCGGCAGGGTTGACATTGTCTGGGACAGGGATTTTGTTGGGTGTCTTGGTTCTGGTGGTTCTTGCACGAGGCATGAGGTGGGGAGGAGCCCACTCCATTGGCATGAACAATAAGCCGAAAGGACTGGAAGGGAGGTGTCACTCATAGTCCCGAGGCTTTGTGAGCATATATGGAGAGATGCTCCCAGGGACCATGTTGGACTCTGGTCCAGGACAGAAGGTCTTATTAAGCAAGGTTAGTTCTAAGCCCAAAGGCAAGTGGCAGGTGGAGGGAGAGTCTTAGACAAGGTCAGAGATCTCCCAGAGATCTATGATACTCTGGCTTCTTCCACTTGCCTGGACTTTGTTCTTGGAACCTGATATCAGAACCCTTTTCCAGCTGTCTGTCTGTCACCCTCCCCAGCTGCTGGGCATACAGGGCCCACTGATTCCCCTCACTGTGTCCAGCCATGCGCCCATCATTTTGGGAGCCACGGACCTGATATGGTCCTTTCCAGCAGCCCCCAGTGCTCTCTGGATTGCTCCTGTGTGGGAACCTGGGACACTTTGCTGGTGGATTAAAGATGCTATGTGAGGGGTAGGGTGGGTTCCAAACACCAACGTCAAGTTCTGGTCCGGTTTCTATGTGTACATTCTCTGTCATCTTCCATTGTGGGTAAGGCTAGAGGGTCAGGGACACTGGGGCCTAAAGGGGGGCTGGTCCATCATTTTCTCTAATGAGCCAGACTGTATGACAAATCCTATGGTCAGTGCTGGACTTACAGAGATCAGTAAAGGCACACACCTGCCTGTCTAGACCTTACATTCTAGATTCTTGTTACCCTAAGATGATCTTAATACTTTAGGCCACATGCACTGTTGTTGGACATGGGAAGGCGGAGGCGGGATCAAGCACGGGTTTGTTCAGAACGCACCAATGAAATTGGTTCTGTCCATACTTCCAGTATTTCAAGATGTACTGGAGGTCTTTTTTTAGCTCATGCAGACAGCGCTGCCTTTCCTCCAGAAACTTATGAAAATAATTTATAAGTCTCTCTGGCCGACAACTTTCCATCTAGGTTAACTTCTGCTGAAACTACTAAAGGATGCCAGTTTTCACACTTTGCTGGGTCAAACCCTCCCTCTGTTTAGCAAACATAAGAATAAAGCACACTACCCTTAAATATTCTGACTTGTTTACCGATGAAGGGATGAATCCCACTTTCACTGATACCTGTTATTCATAAGTGAATTCATATTTTAAAAATAGCTCTTTTAAAAAAAATTAATAAGTAATAGTACATGTTCATTGTGAAAAACATTTTAATACAAATACATAACTTAAGAATAAAAGTTACCTGTTTTTAATATTTTGGTAATTCTTCTTTGCCCTACTTCCTTTTTTAAATCCATTTTGATTTTTGCCTATATCAGATAAATATTTCTATTTATTATTTATTAGTCATCAAACAACTTACAAGAAAAGAAAACCTGGATACTATAAAACTTAAAACAAATGTCAAATAATGAAGGATTAGGAGCATATTATTATATCACAAGACCTAGACTAAGAATAGGTACTGTAATTGAGCAAAAATTTATCTATGAGCCTCCTGACAGGCAAGTCAGAAAAGAGACAACTTACATGGATCTCATTGTCTAATAAAAGGAGACTTGTTCATCAACATTAAATTTTAAGAAGAATGTCACAGTGATATTTGTGACATTTATGTAGTACATTGCCCAGCATAATGAGCTGTAATTTCATTAATAGGTTTTTAGAAAGTATACTATTTATCACATGGCCATTTATTATATTGTATCTGATTTTTTAAAAAAGGGTGTTTCTGTTTTCTTCTTTTCTGGTCCATTCTACCCTATTATATTTTTTAAAATGCTGTTTGCAAACCATTGGATGACCAATTAATGCGTTAAACCTCTAATATGAGTCATGGCTTACAGTATATCGAAAACTCAGTGTCATATTGAAAACTCAGTGTCTAGTAGTCCATTTGGCTTTCAATCTTTTCCCTCCCCTACATAAGGGATACAAGACACTTCCATCAGGACCGTCCTTATCCAAGTTTCCATCTATTATCATTTCCCTTCAGCCTGAAGAACACCCTTTAGCATTTCTTGAAGTGCAATTTTGCTGGTGACAAATCCTCTCAGCTTGTGCTTTGGTGGAAAATGTCTTTATTTAATCTTCATTTTTTAATGATACTTTAATCGGATGGTTATAAAATAATGGATTAACAGTTTTTTCTCCCTTTTGGCACTCTAGCTGTTATTTTATTGGTCTCCATTGCTTTGATGAGAGGTCAGCCTTAATTCATATTTTCATTTTATTCATTCTTTTATTCAGGTATAATATCTTTTTAACCTGGTAGCTTTCAACATTTTAATTTTAATTTTTGGTTTTCAGCAGTTACACTATGATGCCTCCAGGTGTGATTTTCTTTGTATTTTTTTTTTCTCAATTTTGCTGATCTTGAATCTGGAAGTTATCATATTTTACCACATTTTGGGATGATTTAAGCCATTATTTCTTCCAGCCACTTATTTTTCTGCCCTATTTTCATTCTCCTCTTTTTCTGGAATGCCAATCACATGTATGTTAGATTGTTTGATGTTATCCCACTAGTTCCTGAGGTTCTGTTAATTTTTCCATCTTTAGTTCTCTGTTCTCCAGATTGGATAACTTTTATTGATCTATCTTTAATTTAATTGATCCTTTCTCCACCTTCTCCACATTTTCCAGTTGCTAATAAGCTCATTCAACGAATTTTTCTTTTTAGTTATTATAATTTTCAGTTCTAGGAATTCCATTAAAAAAATAATAGCTTCATTGAGATATAATCACATACCATAAAATTCACCCTTTAAAACTGTACAATTCCGTGATTTTTAGAATATTTACAGAGTTGTATAACCACTATCTAATTTTAGAACATTTTCATCACCCTAAAAAGAAACCTTATACTCAGTGGTAGTCATTCCTCTTCCACCCCCACTCCCTCTAACTCCTGGCAACCACTAAGCTACTTTCTGTCTCCATGGCTTTGCCTATTCTGGACATTTTGTATAAGTGGTGTTTGTGTCTGGGTTCTTTCACTTAGCATAATGTTTTCAATGTTTACCCATATTATAGCATGTATAAGTACTTCATTTTGTCATATGGCTGAATAATATTCCTTTGTGTGGCTATACCACATTTTGTTTATCCATTTATCAGTTGATGGACATTTGAATTTCCATGTTTTGGCTACTACAGATAACGCTGCTATGAACTTTCAAGTACAAGTTTTGGTGTATACATATGTTTTATATTTCTCTTGGGTATATACCTAGGAGTGGAATTTCAGGACTATGTGGAAACTCTATGTTTAACGTTTCAGGAACTGCCAGACTATTTTCCAAAGCGGCTGTGCCATTTTACATTTACACCAGCAATGTACGAGTGTTCTAATTTCTCCCCATCTTCACTGATGCTTGTTATTGCTTGTCTTTTTAATTATAGCCATTTTAGTGGGTATGTATAATATGGTATATCATTGTGGTTTTGATTTACATTTCCCTAATGACTAATGATGTTGAACATTTTTTTCATGTGCTTATTGGCCATATGTATTATCTTCTTTGGAGAAATGTCTACTCAGATCCTTTGTTTATTTTTAAATTAGGTTATTTGTCTTTCAGTTATTTGTTGAGTATAAAATTTCTTTATATATTCTGAATATAAGTCCCTTTTCTGGTATATAACTTACAAATACTGTCTCCTATTTGGTATGTTCACTTTAATAATGGAGTCTTTTGAATCATTTTTAATTTTGTTGTTGTTGTTGTTTTTAGCTGAGCCATCCTGCCACCTGTTGATAGCTCAGTGGCAGCTCAGCTTAGGCCGAGACTCTAACTGCTGTTGCTCAGAAAATCATTTTTAATTTTGATGAAGACCAATTAGTCTATTTTTTTCTTTGATTATTTATGCTTTTGGTATATAATAGCTAAGACACCATTGCCAAACCCACGGTTATGAAGATTTACTCCTATGTTGTCTTTTAATAGTTTTATAGTTTTAGCTATTGCATTTAGGTCTATAATCCATTTTGAAAAAGTTAATTTTTATGCATGGTGTGATGAAAGGGTCCAACTTCATTCTTTTGCATGTGGATACCCAGTTGTCCTAGGACTATTTCCCCATTTCTTTCCCCATTTCTTGGTACCCTTGTTGAAATTCAAGGGCTTATTTCCAGAATCGCAAGTCTGTTGGTTGGTCTATACATCTATCCTATGCCAGTACCATAGTATTCTGTAATAAGTATTGAAAACAGGAAGTATGAAGACAATTATATTTGTTTTTGTTTATAGCTTCTATTTTTCTGCACAGCGT